GAACAGCCTCAGGCTTCCTGTCCCTAAACTGGAAACCCTATGTGCATAGAAGGGAGACCATTTCAGACGCTCATTCCTAATGGCCCCGGAACTGAACACATGAGTAGAGTTATGCCTTCAGAAGTTGAAACAGAGAACACAGGACTTCTTTCTCCCTATCTGAAAGCATTTTTTGAAACATAATCTATCACAAAAAAACCCATCAATGAGGACCACAGTGCACAGTGGTTGGTATTGGTGATGAAGATTACATCTTTTAAAAAGGAGCTATCATACGATACACCATTACCGGTAGGAATTTAAAGTGTGAAGGAGCAGAAACAATCTTTCCAAATAGTTGCTTTTCAGCTTCTTGTTGAACAGCAATTGCACATTACATTTTCCTCCCTCCATTTTGTGTGTGTGTGTGTGACGGGGGGGGGGGAGAAGACTTCAGAAAGCTTCTTCAAACTTTTGATTACTTTGGCCTTCAGTGTTGTGGATTGGCATGTCATGCATGATTTCCAGAGTTACCGGTTTTTTTCCCCCATTTCAGTTGCGTCCTCTCAAAATGATAAATCAGAAATCTTGTACCGAAAGGGACCGACACTATGAGGCATTTTTGCTTCCATGCAGAGCTTCTCTTGTTGTCCTTTTAAGGTTTCCTTTCTCTTCCTTTCTAAAATACAAAAGCAGCAATTGGCTCAGCAAGATCTGATAAATGTCCTATTATAAAAACTTGAACGTCAGTTTGCATTTAAAAAGGAAATGATGGAACTTGTAAGCGAAAGAAAAAGGGAAAGGGTATATAAATGACTGGCAGTTCCCATTTCTTTACAAGTGTTACATTTCAGTCCCCTGCCACTACCACATGTTTCCTGTTCACAGATAATTTGTACAACATATTTTATCATTCAGTTTTAGACACAGTTGAAAGGCTTTTGCCTAAGGCTTGGAACACTTTGAAAATTGTATACCATTTGCAAAGCTTTCTTCTGCTTCAGTGTGCAATTAGGTGACTGCCTTTCTGCAGACGTTGAATTTATCATTTATGGAATTTGTGGAATTAGGAATTCTTTCTCCTCTCACCAAGGTGAATGGGGCACAATCACAGTTCTCACTGAAGAATTTGTGTACATAACAATGATGCTTTTGCTAGAACAAGGTGGGATGGGACATAGAAGCAGACTCTCACCCTAAGAACGGATTCCTTCTCGCACATAGCCTTGCAGACCGCTTCTATTTATCAATTTTAAACAGACAAAACACTATGTAGCCCACAGATGGCATTTGAGACATACAATCACACTCAACAAATATATGTGCTCATTAATTATATGCAAGGATAGCTCTTAAGTGGAGTCTATATTTTTTTTTCCCTTTTACTTCCTTTTCTCCACTCCAGTTTTCACTAAAGTTTTCCAGTCCATTAAAGAACAGTGGACGCACTTGTGTGCTAAGAGCTTCCCCTGCTGGATATTTCTTGCAAAAGGTGCCTTAGCTAGGTAGATTACTGCCTGCGACTACTTTTTCCATTTTGATTACTGAGGTACTTGGCTCCTACTGGACAAGAAAGTGACATGCAGCACAATTCTGTGCATTTTATTCGCAGGGAAGTTCTGCTGTGTTCCAACAGGGCTTACTCTCAGGTAAGTGCGCAAAGGATTTCAGCCTTAACCAAGAAGATTCCTGGAGAACATTAAAAACCAATGGTTTTGTGGACTAGATCCTGCTTTGTTAAATGTAGTACTTTAAGAGAGGAAATAAAAAGGAGACTTGTGGTACCTTAGAGACAAAGAGATTAATTGTGGTATGAGCTTTTATGGATGAAAGCCTACTCCATCATCTGTATGACTAGGAATGAGATTTGCTTTGGTTCACATTTTTATGCAAACTTAACTGATCTGCACTTTACAAAATACTAAGCAAGCAAAAACCTTAGCGATCCTTGAAAATTCACACTTTTGTGATTTGCAATTCTCCAACCATGAAACTTACCAAAATATGTGTGTATTAAGGAAAATGTGCATAAAAACGCATGCATTAGTGAAAACAGCATACAGAAATCCATTATTTTAAGGGAAATTGATTTAATAAATATGCGTGTTAGGCAAAATTGTGTACCAAATGTATATTTAGAATAAATATGGTCTACATACTTTGTGAATTTTCATAAGGACTTTAAAAAAAGAAGAAGTCAAAATGCAAACTGATCTTGAAATGTGGCAAACTAACTTAAGATTGGTATAATTGAGAAACTGAAATTGATGGATTTTTCCATCCTTATGCATGAAGTGTATTCTTCAATGGCATACATACAGTTGTAAACAGTAGGAGCAGAAGAGCAGGTAAGAGGACCATTTGCAACATTTCTGTTTGACTCTCAAACGTATACATGGTAAGCAGAGCAATGATTCACATCATCAGCACACAATCTTCCTGGCTTCCCAACACCTGTAATGGAAGGCAAACTCTTGGTTTCGAGTGGCTCCTAAACAGTAGACTCAGACTTGCCAACAAATTCTACTCCAACCATTTCACACTTCAGTCCTTTTAGTATGATGTCCTTCTGGTGTCCCATAGGAAGAAAGATACCTGTCTGAGATTCTTTGTGAGATTGGTGGTGTAAGTGGTTATGCCACCATGTGCCTTATCTTTAGGAAGTCGCATAATGCTCCTCGCCTCCTTTTTCAATTCCTAAAATAAAATAATGTAATGGGTCCGTAAGGGACATGATGTTTTTGTGTTCCAGCAATAACAGTAATAGAGCATCTTAAAGACAAATGGATTGTGTGGCATGATATTTACATCATGAACTTATGTGGTATGAAATATTGGTTGCATTTTACTTGTACTTCTTCACTCCGAATAAGCTGGATTTGAAAATGAAAATTTCAAGAAATGAAAACAGAAGCATCATTATGTGGAAGACGGCCCAAGACACGTTTACCTCAGAAATAAATCTCCTTCCTGCCCCCCAACCCAGAGGCCTCAGATTTACATTCCTGATAAGCATTTTTAGACCTGAATCCTTGGTGTTTTTTTTTCTTTACATAACGAGTGGACAAAGGTCTCTATCGAGTTTAAGCCAGGGTGTGGGGGTTCAAGTTTCTTTTTTCAAAAAGCATTGCTAAACTGCCTAATATTTCAAAATCTCTAAGCGGGATACAGAAATACAACATTCAAACAATTTCATTTTTCCAGAAGAATGATTGCTTTTTTATAATATCCTTTTAATTTACCCTTACGACTTACAACGGGGATATTGTCTTATCCCCATAATAAAAAGGTGCCAGGTTCACGTTGAGAACTAGCAGCTTGATGAGGTCAAAGGTATTGCTTCATGATTGAGCAGAGAATTGGCTGTCTTACATTTTAAACCAAAACACTCTACCCTTCCATTACACCAGACTGGACTGCAAATTAAAAACAAATTGCAGTGTTCACCACCATCTCTTTCTTCTAATAATGTGGAACAACTGAGACATTTTGAGAAGAAAGCTCAACAATAAGCACTGTAGTCCTCTGAAGGTTTCGGAATGCAGCCAAACTAATATTTTGCTGTTCTGGCTGAATATCCCAGTTCATATGCATGTAAAGAGGAGGCTGGCTTCTAAATTTCAAGCACTGTCAGAAAAATGCCATGTTTCATCGGTCTAACAGAGAGCTGTATGTAGCTGTTAAGGGAAATATATCAATTAACACCCTGGGAGACTTAGAAAAGCAGTACCGTCAGGAGCAAAACTAACAGGATTTTAATCTAATTGTGCACTTATCTATTTGGTAAATAGTAGGTTACAAATTGCCAAGTGTACTGAGGACTCTGTGCGAGCCTAAGTTATATCGCAGTATTGAATTAATAAGGGGCTGCCGAACACCGGACCCAGCTATTCAAACCTAGCTGGAGTTTGGGATAAGCATTCGCACAGACGTGATATTATGGTCTGTTAAATGGTTATGGGACCACCACTTAAGCAAGTGGAGTTGGTGGTGGGAAAATGGCCCAATGCATGTACAAGCCTCTTGCTTGCAATGCATCCACAGAGACTTTCTATTTTCCATTATTGCTGCAGCACAAAAATTAGGCCCCAGGACAGGCTAGGTGCATGATGAGCTATGGTCCCACTGCTTCCCTTACATGCTATGTGTTTGCCATTTGTATGGGAAAGTATCCATTTGGAAGGGTGGGCAGCGGTTAATGGGTCCTGCAACTAAATGGTGTGATCCGATTCAGGGTTCCTGCCAACTAGCCATTACTTCATTTATTGCATTCCTCCACCCCATTTTGCCCCTCCAATAGTCAGCCAGCATTCTGTATGCTCACGAGGCTGTTTTGGGGGTTATCCCTCGTTTCTTTGCATTCCTACACAATGTGGGGTTCCTCCAAGTCTGACAATCTCTTCCTCTGGTGTGCAGACCATGCCCCTATGGCGACATAAGGAACCTCAGACAGTGAGTCCGATTGAAACCAAAACCATTTTGTTCCTAACACACTTTTAAACCCCTAAGGAAAGTAAAGGTTATATTACACTAAAGATATAGGGAACCAGGCAGAGGGCCTTCTCGATAGTGGCACCTGCCTAGTGGAATACCTCTGTGGCGTTAGTACGGAGCCCCCGGTCGTCTCACGGACTATTGACCCGTACACCACTAATCCGCTGCCACCAACCAGGTCTTCCCTGGTAAAATCACTTCAGTCTCAGTCAGCTTTTCAATTAATAAAGAAGAGTGTATTTTATTTCAGACATAAAACAAAACTTTTACAGCATACCAAACGGTGTTCCTGTTTACTTTCTTAGTCTTATGTTCCTCTCTCTATCTGCTACCACCCCACACTCACGGACCAACTGCCCTAACTGTCTCTCTATTACCAACTGCCTTTCCCAACCAGCCAACCCACTCAAACCAACTACCCACCCACAACTCCCAATGAACTCCTCCAGAACTAGTTTTATAGACCCACTGACTCCACCCCCCTGGGTCCTGTCTGTGCAGCCTATTTAACTATTTCCCCTCCAGCACTCTCTCATATATGGTAACGTCACACCCTCCCATCACATGTCAAGGAAATAAACAACTACCTGACTTTTAGAAGGCTTCTGAAGGCGGCTCTGTTTAGGGAAGTTTTTAATGTCTGATGTTTTATGCTATTATTATTATTATTATTATTATTATTATTATTATTATCATTAATTCTGTTGGAAGCTGCCCAGAGTGTTCAGGGAATGAATGAATGAATAAATAAAATTATTATTATTATTATTATTATTATTATTTACTTTTGTAATTATACTGGGTCCTGCCCTATCATTGTTAAGTACTTGTAGGTCCCATTGTTTTCAATGGGGGAAATTAGCTATTCCATTCTGGTCAGCTAGACCAAACTGAGAGAAAACTCTTAAGCCAAATGGTTTAGTAGTTCGTAATAATAATAATAATAATACAGTGGAACTTCTATTTGCAACCATAATCCATTCTGGAGGTCCGTCTGGAGGTTGAAACGGGTCGCTGGGAGAGGTGCTGTTGTGCACAGGTGTGGGTGGCGACTGCCCGCTTCTGCTCATGTGCAAATGGCAATCGCCATTCCTGCGCATGCGCGAACGGTGGCAAACCCACCGGTTACTTCTGGGTTTGCCGCAGTTGCGACTTGGAACAACCATAAGAAGAGGCGGTGGTAAGTAGAGGTTTGACGTAATAATAATAATAATAATAATTTATTTATTATACCCTGCCCATCTTGCCAGGCCTCCCCAGCAACTCTGGGCGGCTTCCAACAGGATATTAAAAAACACAATAAAACATCAAGCATTAAAAACTTCCCTAAACAGGGCTGCCTTCAGATGTCATCAACTCTCATTTCTATGAACAGATGAAATATTACTAATACACATTATTTGTGACAGACCCTGAACTGTACATGGAAAGGTTAACTCTGCACTGGAAGAGAAAAGACTGTGGTATCTTGCTGAATTCATTCAGGCTTACTGAAAACCATCTTCATTACCAAGGGACCCCAGGAAGGACCAGCTGATTTTATATAATGGAAGGAATTCTGAGCCCAGGCATAGAAAATTGTGACCGTCCAATGTTTCTTAGACTCCAGCTTCCAGCATCCCTGACTTCTGGCCCTGTTGGCTGGGACCAGGGCTGGTGCACCCAGCAGGCAGGGTGCTGCCGCCACCTCAGGCAATGCAAGCCCCCCAAGGTGAAGCCTGCACAGCCTGCCGTGCCACCTCCGCCAACAGCGAAGAAGCAGTGCTGGTATTGGTGCCAATTTCGGGTGAGATCTTACCCAAAATTGGAGGTGGAGGCAGCAGCAGCAGGACAGCACTTCCCTCCTTCACCTCAAGTGACAAAAGGGCTGCTGTCAGGGCAAACTGGATTTTAATTATTGATTTGAATTGTGTTAATTATTCCTTTAAGTTTTTTTTTTTTTAATACTTTGCATTTTATAATGTTTTACATGTTTTAAGCTGCCTTCAATTCCAACTTGGGAGAAAGGCAGGATATAAATACGACGAAGAAGAAGAAGAAGAAGAAGAAGAAGAAGAAGAAGAAGAAGTCAGACAGATAGACAGTTGTAGTGCATTGAGTGGTTTGCCCATAATTTTGGCGGAGACAATGCACATTTCCTTTTCAACCACTATTCTTAAAGAAAAGAAAATGGATTGTGCTGCATGGACTCTGGTTGTCTGGGTACTGTGCTAGGGCTCTGGGCTAGCCCTTGTATCTTCTGGGCTATATCTAATGCATGCTTTGTTTACCCTCCTTAAAGGTAAAGGTAAAGGTAAAGGGACCCCTGACCATTAGGTCCAGTCGTGGCCGACTCTGGGGTTGCGGCGCTCATCTCGCTTTACTGGCTGAAGGAGCCGGCATACAGCTTCCGGGTCATGTGGCCAGCATGACTAAGCCGCTTCTGGCGAACCAGAGCAGCGCACGGAAACACCGTTTACCTTCCTGCCGCAGCGGTACCTATTTATCTACTTGCACGTTGGTGTGCTTTCGAACTGCTAGGTTGGCAGGAGCAGGGACCAAGCAACGGGAGCTCACCCCGTCGTGGGGATTTGAACCGCCAACCTTTAGGAAATGTGTAACCAGAAATTTGCCAAAATGCTCATCTTTGGAACTTCTAAGGGTACACACAATGTACCAAATACATCCAACTGTTCAAACTTTGGAAAGATGAGCATTTGAAAATGGCTAATTTGTCACAAACATGCAAAATATCTTATCAGTCTTTATGTGGATTTATTCGCTCATGTAAAAGTAACCAGATGGCATGAATGTTTATGTTGCATTTGGTTGGGGAGCTAAAGATCACCCCCTGGTGATAAACATCTATGTATGCCAATGGTATTGCACCAGTAGCAGCATTCAGTGCAATAATTCTTCCTTGACTTACAGTTTTCCAAGAATGGAAAAGTTAGATTGTGTGCATTCTTACATGTTTGCTGTGGTTTGCAACTGAACTACTAGGAATTTACTTACCATTTTCAAGATTCGTTCTTCAAGCATGGGCATATCGTGTGCAATTCAAAGAGCTAGAATTCTAGTAAGAACCAGCAGCTCAGCTGCTACAGAGCTCAGAATAACTATTTCTAGTTTACCATACAAAAGGATTTTTTAATAAAAACGCTGTAAACCCAGACTCTCCAAGTGTTCCTATTTTCCAGGCTCGTCCCTGATTTCCAGAAGCTGTACCAGTTTCTGATTTGATCCCAGAATGTCCCACTTTTCCTTAGGCTGTCCCTATTTTCACTGGAGAAATGTTGGAGGGTATGGTAGGTAAAGGTAAAGGGACCCCTGACCATTAGGTCCAGTCGTGACCGACTCTGGGGTTGCAGCGCTCATCTCGCTTTATTGGCCGAGGGAGCCAGCGTACAGCTTTCGGGTCATGTGGCCAGCCTGACTAAGCCGCTTCTGGCGAACCAGAGCAGCGCACGGAAATGCCGTTTACCTTCCCGCCAGAGCGGTACCTATTTATCTACTTGCACTTCGACGTGCTTTTGAACTGCTAGGTTGGCAGGAGCAGGGACTAAGCAACGGGAGCTCACCCCGTCGCGGGGATTCGAACCGCTGATCTTCTGATCGGCAAGTCCTAGGTTCTGTGGTTTAACCCACAGCGCCCCCCGCGTCCCTTAGGAGGGTATTGTAGGATGTCCCTATTTTCAGAAAAAATGCCTGGAGCCCAGAGACAATGTAGGGGAATGAATTTGGCAAGGGCTTGTATCAGAAGTGGTAAGCTTGCATGAGACACCATCTAATAGGCTGGCTCTGGGAAGGCATTGTGAATGGTCTCTGTCATTGAAATTCTACTCAGTATTGATCTGAAGGAATGGGTTTCCAAAACCCAAAAACTGACTGTGCAGGCAGTTTTAAACTGCACCAAAATTCCTATTTTTCCTTAGCTAAAATGCATAAACTCAAGCCGTTGAGTAAATCCATAACAAGAACAAAGCTCTCTCTCCCTTATCAGTCCGTGGCGGCAATGAGTGACCTTGCCAAGTTCCAGTACAGCAGGGATGATGCGTGTGTGCCTTATCTTATGTGCTGACCACAAAGACGCGTAGACCCACGTCTGGGAATAACGCCAGAGTGTGTTCTCGGAAATGGTGACCTCTGCCTCCCAGATAAGAGTAGGAAGAGGAAGATCCTTTTATGGTCAGGAGTACAGGAAGGAAGATCCTTTTATGGTTGAGAGTACCAGAGCAGGAACATATGTGATGTCAACCTGTGTACGTAGGTCGACGTGGTTGGGCTCCTAGGGGAGGAGTGAGAGGGTGCCTGGAGGATATATAAACTGCATGAAACCTGTCATTTCTTTGTACTTGCTGCGGACTCACCACGCAGGTGCCTTCTGCTATCCGGAGAGCAGAATAAACTCCTTCTTTGAACCAACCTCGGTGTCATTTTGACTTCCTTCCTCCTGTCCCGGAGCAACACAGACCCACTCGGTGAACTCCAATAAGGCTACAGATCCAGAGTAGATTCCAATGTATAGTTAGCAGAGTAATGACTTAAACACGTTGAAGGACTCCAAAAAAAATAGACCAGAGGCAATTGTATTTCATCCAGCAGAGCTTTACTGCTACTGTGAAGGCAAATGAGCATAATGGTCACAAATCCAATTGCCTCCAGGACTGGCACAGTCCATAAGAAATCCAGTTGCAGCAGACTTAACATAAACTTACAATAACTTATAATAAGTCTAAACCTTAACACTAAGCATACTATGTACAGAACACCACACCAGAATGAAGAGAGATAGAAAGCGAAAGTGAAACCCCGGCTCCTTCTGGCCTCACTATTATAGTCTGCATGACCATGACAGAAAGAGATAAGAGAACCAGTTTAAACCAGCTGGACTCATCTTCTCTGAAGGAAGAACCCAAACATCACGAACCTTCTGCTTGTTTCTTTCACACAGAGAAGCTTCCAGAACCTTCTTGAATTAAGTTGAATAGGAAAGATCTCTACACATCAGATCGATACTTTCTGCACTAAGAAATGCAAACGGAGAGTCTCTGCCCGGGTGGCACTGAGAAGAAAGGATCTCCTCCCACGCTTGAATCGCTTGTTTTCTTAACCCCACAACTTCTTCATTTCTAAAATCTCATTTTTCATTTTCACACTTACACTTCAATGAAACGAAGGCTCGGTCACCATTAAGCGTTACTGCATGAACTTTTGAATTAACGTGGGCAAAAAGGGTACTGAGAACAACAATAATAATAAACAGATTTAAAACCAACGTTCTTGCAAGGCTGCTGACTGGAAAGGTAACAGTGAAAGTGTGCTCAGGAGCAGAAATGAAGGTGTGTGGCTATCGGGCCGCACTTGAAACATCGCACTACAGATTGCTTTATACTGTATTGTCTGGAATATAAGCACACCCAAATATAAGCCGCACCTTTAAAATTGATGGGGGGAAAGAAAAAATAACCGAATATAAGCCGCTCCCTTCCTCGCTGCTCCTGGCTGCATACTGAGGGGGGGTGCTGCGTTGCCAGCGGCCTTTCCCATTCCTCGCTCTCTCCATTTCTGGCCTTGGGGGAGAGGAAGGGGGACTATGCGTGGGATGGGCACCACTTCGCATGCTCCTGGCGCTGTTTGCCTCTCACTCCTGGCTGCGTACCGTAAGGTCACAAATATAAGCCACACTTTAACTTTTCACGGTTGAAATTTGGGGGGAAAGTGAGGCTTATATTCAGGCCAGTACGGTATTATGCTTTTATGAACATATCAGAAAATGAAGCAGAGTGTCGGGCTGGTTTCTCTGAGATCCTCTTTTTCTGATCTTAAATTCACTCTACTGTGTTTGAGCATCAGGCTGCAAACTGTTTTGTTAAGAGGGGGGAGTCCTCACAGTTCACCAGCATTTTCAGGCACATTTCAACAGCGCTGAATTCATCAGCATTTTAGTATGCATTTTTTCTTTTATTATTATTAATAATAATAATATCATTTGTCTGTTGTACACACTCTTGTGAGTCATTTCCTCCAATATACTGCAATTTTGTATGTAATTTTCAGCAACGTGTGCATTCTTATGCACACTTTCCCCTGATACACACATTTCCCTTAGCTTTTTTTGATAGAGACTCATGCCGCAAAATTCAGAGAAGTATGAATTTCAAAGGTGGCTGCATTTCAATTTGCATATTGTTTCAGGAAGTGTGAAGTGGGTCGGTTCTCTTTCGAGTGTGAACCAAACCGAATTTCTCCCCATCAAAAAGGGAGAAAAGCACAGGAGAATGACTTGATGACAATGATGTGTGGAGATCCCACAAAATGTGAGTGAGCGAAGAGTGAGAAATCCAGAATAAACATGTTAACAGGGAAGCATTCTAGGACAGTCGTCCGGGAATACGTTGCACATTGTGAGAGATGGAAACACAAACAGCTTAAAAACAAAACAAAACTCAATGGAAGACTGTGCGTTGTTTTTTCAGGAGTGACATCATTTGTGCTAAAAATACAGTAGGAATGCAACTTGGGGGGGAGAGGTAACTACAAAATACCCTCAGGCAAGAGGTTTAAGGCAAGGTAATTGGAAGAATGCCCAATGTCAAAAACTTCCTATGGATACTTTTGATCACCAGCAGCGTGGGGACCGAAGGTTTTTGAACAACAAACCATATGACTGAAAATATTCATGGCATAATTAGATAAATAACAGATCTAGTGTCTATTTTTATTTTCCTTGATGAGGAGCTTTGCAGGAGAGACTGCTGGTAGTTAATTCTCCCTAACAACAATCTGTGTAATCACAAACCCCAATTAGCTGTGCCTGTTCTCTGCTATACACAAACTATTTCCTTAGCGCTTCACATCACTACTTTGTAATTAGCTTTCATCTACACGAGCTTTGACTGAAAAAAAAATATATAAAAGAGTGTAAGTGATTGTACTGCCACTCAGTATTCTGTGAAATAATCGCTAGCGATTTCAATCAGATTAATTTTATCACCCGTATTAAGGAAAATTACCTCCCTCTTCACTCGCTACAGCTGAGGGCTATTTCATTTCCTGAGATGTTCATAAAAGCATAATATAAAGCAATCTGTAATTGTAAATATCCTTTCCTAATAACTTTGAGATATTTCCTTAATACGTCTTTACATTTGGAGTTTCCGTTCCATAAAATACAGTAACAAGTGCTCTATTATGTTTTAAGTGTGTGCTGTTAAGCCGGACAACTTAGCTCTGTCCTTCCTGTTTTTACATAGGGTTATATTTAACTTGTAGATAATGGGAACAAGGTTTAAAAGTGATGGAGCGGAATAATGGCGTTACA